CACAATAATTTGTTAGGAACTGTGAAAAATGCCAAGTTTTTTTTTTCGATATCGAGGCAACCTATGCAAGATTTGCTTCCATTAACAAGTCTGTGGTCATCTACGCAATGGTGGTTGGATATTGTAGGGCCAATGGCCAAAGCTCCCGAAAATAAGCAGTTCCTGGTTTTAAAAATCGATTATTTCACAAAATGGGTAGAAGTAGAACCCCTAGCCAACATATGTGATACAAACACCATAAAATTTGTATAGAAGAAAATCATTACCAGATATAGAATACCAGCAGCCTTATATCTTGTAACGCTCCAAAAACCACCGTGGGTGACATTACATTCTAAAAATCATTTACCGTATGAGAGCATTAAGTAAAATTCATCACGACGAAAGTTTCATTCATCAACCATTCATATTTTAACAAAATTTGGGCAGAGTCTCCTTTGTACGGGGAGCTCTACCCAAAACACAACATGTACAATTATATTACAATTGACCACACCGGGTCTATTTTTTCATCATAAAATAAACTTGCATTCATCATATGTCATATCCACACTATCATCCCAAATTAATAGGTCTAATCTTGGCCTTTACATCTCCAAAATGTAATAATATAACGCAGCGGAAATAACAGAAATGAACTAGAGTTCAAAAGGATATTCTAAGCATAATCTAGTCTAGAACAAAATAAAAGTGTCGCTCTAAGCGTCCACCTCGGGATCCACATCCCCGTCAAGCGGAGTCTTCCAATGAGTGGGCTCCTCGGCTCCTAACTCCTCCTCAAGTGTGAAATCTAAAAAAATTTTATTTGTAGGGGGTGAGCACGAAGCTCTGTAGCAAAATCCTCTCAACTCAAATAAGGTTTGAAAAACATAGCAAACGGTTGGTCTCATTTCACAACTAACATATATATAGGTTTGGAATGAAAACAGTGACCTTTTAAAAGAGATCTCAAGTTTAAACAATAGCAATAATCAGTTAAAAGAATAAAGTGAGTTTAGCATCGATAAACAAAATTCTAATTTAAGCTATTTAAGAAGGGCTTCTCCCTAAGCATTGTCCCATACCAATGTATCGGCAAGAACGACCCAACTCCCGATTCCATGTATTTTTGGTTCATCCCCGTACCATGTATGTTGATTGCTTCTCGTGAATCTACCTAACGATCATGCCTAGTCCACCAATTCCAACCAACAATCACAAATCTCTTTAGGAAGGGCGTGTACCGTCTCCTACGGCATTGACAAAATCCTCCCAAGGTGTCTAGTATACTAACCCTTTTCCTCGGTGTATATGTGAACAATAGTGATCGCGAGCACAACAACGATCCACTACGAGCATTAGACAACCATCTTACCCCCCATTGGGATAGACTAACCTCTAACACTCTACGGCATCTCTCGAAGGTAATCCAAGTCCATCACAACAACCATACAATGAGGAAATCAAAAATATTCACAATTCACAACAATTTCCCAAATATAGTAAAATCCCAAATTTTGTTTTCACATTTGTCATATAATCGAATAATCCAAGAAAATATGCAAGAGATCGTAATTTATATCATGGTGTTATACAATATTCAACACTAAAGTTTTAAAATCAAAGACAAAGAAGAAATTAGGAGAAAATTCCCTTTTCTTGAAAACTAGGGCTTTGAAGATAAAAAAAAAAATCAATAGAGCTTTGGTGGTTACCCACCCATCATATTGTTCAAAACATGGCATTTATTACAAATAGAACAAGAATCATGTATTTCATATTATATATATGAGAAGGAGAGTGAAGAAACATATATCTATATACATATATATATCTATATATATATATATCTAGCCTCAGTGTGAGAGATTGAGAGAAAATCCCCTACCTTAAATCAAGATTCCAAGCTAAGACCCAAGCTTCAAGATTCTTGCTCTCCTTTCTTTTCCTCTTAATCTTCTCCTCCTAGGGTTTCAAAAGATTTGGGTGAGAGGGTAGCAAGAATGGAAGAAAATGGGAGGAGAATGTATTCTTAAAGAATTTGAAGTTTTGATTTCTACAAGGTATAAATTCCTCTTGATTGGTATTTCTATCTTCCTCTCTTCCTCTAAAATGGTTCCTAGGGTTTGGAGGGGTGAAATGAATGCTAAAGGGACGACATTAGGTTTTTATAGGGCAAGAAAATCGAGCAAAACCCGATATTTTCTGTTCAGAAAAAATCGGGTTTCCTTCGTACTGTTCACAGATTTTTGGTGCGACTTCCAGGTCAGTTTTGACCCATTTAGAGGTCGAATTGGACATTTGTCATGAAATACACTTTTGTAGCCCTAGATGTCTACTATTTTTTGTCAAAAGTTCAGATCAATTGGACATCAAAATATAAAGTTGTGATGAAAATACTAAGCAGTGTCTATCACCCCTTTTTACCCAATTTCACTCCAATTTGGTTTTACTTCTAAAATACTTCCTAACTTCTAATACATCCCATATTACCTCTCCCAATGTTTTCCGACCTCCCGAATTCAATGGTAATGTTATTTTGATAAAAAAATTAATATATTTATTTAGTTACCCTTATCAATCTTAAACACATCCAAAAAAAAATTAAGTTTGACCCAAAAGTCAATCCGTTCGAAATTCAAACTTCATGATTAATATTTCAATAATAATTCTAAGTTTTTATCCTCATTTTATTCATATTTGGAAAACTCTTAAGATATTAATATTTTTATTTAATTTTAGTACAGGGTCTTACATATCTGATAATGGGAATTAGTTTTAAAGTGGGCCCTTTAAATTTTTATGCTAACAATATGGGGTTCGAAACCATTACTCTACACCATCCTACCCATAGAGTAATGGCAGACAAAAATCTTAAAAAAAAATATCATACGAAATCAAGAAAAAGTTGGAAAAATAAAAAGGCAAATAGGTAGAGGAGTTGCCCAACGTGTTGTGGATGTACCGAACCACACCTTAATGTGCAACGGGGGCAAATTCATATGCATTAGCTTATGGAATGGAAGCTATGATACTCCTAGAGATTGGTTTGTTGGCACTTAGAATCGATCTAGCAAATAATGGGGGAAACGACACCGTCATAAGCCATGAATTAGATTTGATTGATGAAAAAGGGAGGCAACGACCATTTGGTTAGCTACTTATTAGCAGCAGATGTCACGAGCCTACAACAAGAAAGTTCAACCCCCGTGCCTTTGCCCTCAGGGATCTTGTGCATAGACGGGTCATGGGTTCTGTCAAAGACCCAACACATTGGGAACTATGCACGAACTGGGAGGGACCTTATAAAGTTATTCGGGTAGGGGGAAACATATCCTATGAGCCCTTGACTGTGGATCAAAGGCACCTACCTTGACCATGGAACGCATCTAATCTTTGAAAGTTCTATTTCTGAAATGCCTTCACAAATATGAACTCCAAAATACCTTCAAAAAAAGGAATACCCCCTATAGAGCATTCTTCCTCATTTTTACTTTAGGAATTTCTATTGAAAGAAATTTTACTAAAAATTCCTTGCGAATTTAGTAAATTTTAGTTTTATAGAATCTATTCTACTGCTAAGGCGGAGAGGCAAAAACCCTGATAGACGTAGAAACCTAAATCAGGCATAGCTGCCCTATCAGATCTAGTCCTAAGGATAGGCATGATGATGTAAACCAAATGAGGAATGATTTGAGTTCGATTAGATCAGCGGGTCTGTGCCTGTAAGGAAACTTCTTCGAGTATTTTTTTAAATATTGAAAGTTCCCTACCTAAGCACTAAGGATCAAACTTTTAGAGGAAAGGTTGAGCAAAGAGGGCCAAAGCTTCTTCAAGTATTTTTTTGAAGCGTTGAAAGGTCCCTAGCTAAGTGTTAAGGACTGAACTCTTAGACGAAAGGTCGAGCAAAGGGTCAAAACTTCTTTGATTATTTTTTTGAAGTGTTGAAAGGTCCCTAGCTAAGCACTAAGGAATGAAATCTTAGAGGAAAGGCTGAACAAAAGGCCAAAACTTCTTGGAGTATTTTTCCAATTGTTTAAAGGTCCATAGCTAAGTGCTAACAACCAAGTTTTGAGCAAAGGGCCAAGCTTTGACTATTTATCTACGTATAGAAAGGTCTGTAGCTAAGCTCTAATGACCTAACTCTCAGAAGGAAGGTCAAGTAAAATAGCCAAATTATTGCGAGTAAATTTTAAGAGCCCAAAGATCACTAGCAAACGGATGATGACCAGACATCTACATTCTTTTGAAGAAGTTACAAGAGGTGCTGTAGAACTAGTGGCAACAAGATTGTAGTAGAGCTCGGAGGATGAAGGAACTTTAGCAGCTCGAAGAGCAGCAACCCAACCTTTGGAAAAATGCTAGCTCATTTTTGGCCTTCTCCATTCCTTGTTCAAATGCAACATCGTCCAACTTTTTAATTCTAGCCTTCAAAGATTCGTGCTCTTCTAGAAGGGAAGCATGCTCCTGTAGAGTTTGGGAGAGCTCGGCGCTAGCAGCAAATTTAGAAGCTGCTAACTCCTTCACCCGAGCAACAAGCTTCCCCTTCTCTTTAATTAGGTTTGCCATCTGCGTTTGAAGGATAAGCATATATTTGCAAAGATTTGTAAACTCTATATTAGAAGTTTCATTTTTGGCTAAGATGGTCATTCGATTATTGATATTCTCCTTCATTGCTTTGTCCTTCTTTTCAATTCTGGCACCAAATTCATGAACCTTTTAAAGTCCCTAAACTCAAAAGAAAGGAAAATGAGTTGTGAAGAGTATACCAAGAAGAAAAATACCAAGTACAAAGGGGAAAAAGAAAGTACTAGAATCATCTACTAGATAACCAGCCTTGTAATCTCATCATCAATCACCATTTCATTCGTGGCTAGGTCTCAGGGAAGGATAACCCCTCTGGCTATCCCAATTGTAGCATTCATGTCCTTGGCAACGGAATCTCAAACAGTTGTTTTCTTTGCCTTCAAAATTTGATGGAAAGGGAGAAAGGACTATTTAGGAGGGCTGAGGAGGTCGGCTCAGAGATTTTCCTCTTCTTCAGTGTGGAAATCATCCTCGGGTGACCAAATAGGGGAAGGAAGAATTAGGACTTTAGTTGGGGCAGTATCAGTTGGAAAAAAAATTAGGGGATTAGGAGACCAGTCAGTAGTCATAGCTACCACCAACTCAGAAGGGTCATTTGAAATGACTACCCGCTCGAGCTCGATAGATGAAGGCAGAGTAGATTCTTCAATGGCTTGATCTAGAAGAGAAGAAGTTACAGGATTGATACCCTCGATCAAGGTTTGGAACTTTAGGAAATTTCTTATTGGCCTGTTCCTACTTGACACAGGGACGACGAACTTGTGGCAAGGTCAAGGTGTAATTAGCATGCTAGCTTTGAAGGGCATCATGATCATTGGCAAGTGTAGCATTGGCACGGTTTGGAATGACAATAAAAGAGTGATAGGTTGGGGTGTAACCAAGAAGGACGTGGGCGGCTCAGCAAAATAGACTTTCATTAAAAGACCATACCATTTTTAACTCATCCATCTTCATGGAGAGTTTGGGAATTTTTCATTTGAAAGTTTCTCCTGAATCAAAAAACTAAAACAAAACTTAAGACTTGCCTCAAGAAGAAGCTTAGGAGCATTCTCTCACATACCTGGTATGCCTTTTTCATATAGGCACATGTATCAGGAGGTCTTACCAGCTTTGTACTCCCAATTGCCAGAGACAAATATGACATCATTTTCATAACCCTTGTTTGAATCAGGAAGGAGGGTCACTAGGTACCGATTCTTCCTCCTCACAGCCAAGTAATATTTGTCAATGACAAGTTTGATGATGTAGAAAAGTAGGATCTCTTGAAGACCCAGGCTAACGTTCAAAAGACTATTGAGGGTAGCAGCACCCATCACTTCCTAAAGAAGTTGGGACAATATTGAATGGGCACAAATTCAAAGGTGAAAGCACCCAAAGGAGGGGATGAAATGGGAACCTTATGCCACATTTAGTGATAGCTTGAATATGAATTAGGATGGACTCCTTGGTGCCAATCAGAGGTTCATCGACTTTAGCAATGCGAATATGAACATCATTAGGGATCTAATACTTGCTCCTAAAGGCATGAATGTCTTTTGGTGTGAGGGGAGCCATTTGACTAGAATAAGAAGCAAAAACTAGAGCATTGAAGGAGAGGCAAACAAGAGATTAGAAATTTAGCAAGGGGAGAGAAATAATGCCTTGCATCCCTTTTTAAAAAGGTCTAAACAGGTGCCATGCCTGAAGTTCGAAGGATGAAAACATTAAATGCAAAAGACATTTGAATGGGACAAATAGAGGTGTTGCATGTCTCAAGGAGGTATATAATGACCATTATGGATATATGAAACAATTGCAGGAAAAAATACCTAACACTCATTTTCTAGGGGCAAGTGAAGGGGCATAAAATCATGCCATGTATACATAAATAATTTACTCACGTGGACACGATGGGACAAGTTAGCTGGATCCCAAAAGGAGAAATAATGAGGCAAGAGCCAAGCCAAGTTAGATAAGCTTTGTTCATAATATCGAACCGATCTATGAAGAACTCAGTAACGTTAGGAAGGTATTTGGCTTACAAGGCTGATCTCTACTCAAAATATGGCTCTTAATTGAATCATCGGGAAGCACCTACAATCAAGGAAATTTAGGTGCTATAAATAAGAACGATCCATGGCTCCAAGTAGAGGGTGATTGGGGGAGCATCTAGAGGGATTTTAGAGATTCCCAACCAACATTCAAGAATGATGAGGAATGTACGATCTTAATTCATCAATAACGGGAACACTAGAAGAAGAAATAATCATATTGAAGAATTGAGGATGCTACTTGATATTTTCCATTGTAAATTCCTAATCTCTCAACAACTTCCCTCAATGTGTATATATGATGTGTGAAGGGGAGTGTCAGTCTTCTTTGAGATGATGTCAAAAGAAAGGGCAAGGGAATGGTGAAAATGAAATGTGCAAGTGAGCAAAAATGCTTCCCAAGAGCAAGAAGACTTTTGCATGTCGTGTTTTACTTGGAGGTATTCCAAGGTCGTTTCCTCGGGGATGGTTGTGGATCATTTTGAAAGTGATTTTTGTGAAAAAAAGTGTAAAATATTTTGTAGTTGAAGTTTGGTTTAGTGAGTTGTGTTGTGATGAAAATGAGTTGGAAAGCAAGTGTTGGCCAATCCGAAGGGTTCACTTCGATGGGAATACCGAGTCAACTCGAAACCTTCCTTCAATGGTGGATAAGTGAACGATTGATTCGTGGGAAGTGAGGGACATAACGAAAGTAAGGATCCAAGCATAACTCATGGCAATGCCTATGGGATGTCAAGGATTCACACTCCGGTCCATACTCAACCTAGTCAAACCGAACCACCGTACACCGAGGCGAAGAGAGGGGATGAGTTGAGATGGTATACCCAAGCGGAGGTCTCCCTTAGATTAACCAACTTAAAGATTTAGCTACTCATGATTAAAGGAAAACCAAAAATGTAGTGAGAATGCATTACAAGGAAATGAAATGCTTGGTGCAGTAAATGCCAGAAGCATAAACTAAATGAGAATGAATTTAATACCCATTAACAGCTAAGAAGTTTAAGAACATAGAAACATTAATGGTTGAAGCTTTAATGGAGGACATAACTTGAAAACACTTAGAGATTAATGACATTTCAAAGCATTAGAGGAAGCTTGGAAGATTCTTACATGAAATAAAAGACAATACATGGTAGAAAATGGACAAATCTCAACTTCTCTCTCTAACACTATTTATCTTCTTCCTCTAGCTTCTCTCTCTATATTCCAATGTATATATTGCATAATACCTAATGGAGAGCTCCCTCCCTTGTCAAAAACCTCCATGGAGTGATGCCCCAGCTAGGTGATGTGATCTCCATCCATAGGCTATCAAGAGAGTGGGTTGGACAGGGCTGAACAGGGTGGTATAGGTATAGCATGGATACCTAGCATATTCTCTCTCCTTTCTCCTCATTGATGATCAAAACTCTGAAAAGTCCAAGATAAGATAAAAAGGGGATGCCTTATGTGTAGAAGGTGTCAGAGACAAGTGGGAGACCCAGTGATAGGACCCCCAAGTTGTAGTGCTTGAGATGCAGAATCTGTACTATTTCAGTAAAACCTACCGGTAGATCGCGGAAAAGCTACCGGTAGGTTTTGCTTCAATGAAGCCAAACTATCGATAGATCTGCGGTAGGTGCAAACCAGTAGCCAATTTCTATCGGTATTTCTGCGGTAGGTGCAAACCAATAGCCAATTTCTACCGATACTGTCTATCAGTAGGTTTTTTTCCTTTTTGCTGATTTCTTTGTTCCTTCACCTCCTGAGCCATCGCCAAGCCTCCTCCTCATCTCCAAGCATCTCAAGCATCCTCAAAAGGGCCTAAAAGGCACCATTTAAACCTCTTTTCCTGTAAACACATCAAAACACCATTAAATGTTTGAACGGTGTTATTCCCCTCATTTTACCCTCAACAATAATTGAGAAAGGGATGTATAAGCACATAAAATATACAATATTTTGTGCTAATCACACCCCCAACTTGAGTTTTGCTAGTCCATAGCAAATTGTGCATTCAAATCAAAAGTATACACATAAACCAATCATTTCCCACAGTCAATCAAAATAAGCAATCACAACGCAATTAATAGAAAGAGTTAGGGCAAGATGGAATAAAAATTGTAGTAAGTTCATTCATTACTTTCTAACTTGGAGTACGTGAAGTTTAATTTCAAAAAGAACCAAACAGCCTAAAACGTAGAAACACTTCTACAAGGTCAGACACTCCACTCCAAAATATATACAATCCACAACAAAAAGATTAGACCACTACTTTAGGACCCTACTCCTCATCATCCTCACCATCATCCTCTCCCACTTCAACTACAATAGAGGGGTAGGGGGCTGATGCAGAAGGTGGTGCTGAACATTCAGGGATGGGTTCTCTAGGAAATATGTCCTGAAATAGTCACACCATCATAGTCGAGAGCCCGTGCACTATTGCCTCTAATGTATTGAGGCGCTAAGGTATTTAGTGCTTCGATGCAGAAGAGGATGGCCCAGACTCAGGTGGCATTTCAGAAGATATACCCCTTAACACTAAAATGATCACACAATCGGGTCTCCATGTTTTCAAAAGGGAGATTCACTTTTGGCTTCCTAGCCTGAGCAAAATCTCTCATCACTTCCCAGATGAACAACGCAATATCCAAGGCTTTACCTGTCAGCACTGCATCCAAGAGGGCCAACTTCTCTAGGTTAGGCGTCATCTCGGCACCTCTTGGAAACAGGTAATAATGTAAGATTTTATTCATAAGCCCATGTGTGTGCTTGAGGCCCCCAACATGTACAGTCCCTTTAAACTGTGTTGGGTCCTCATACATCAATGCCACATATTCCTTAATGGTCTTGACTCTCATGATGTTGTATGGGTAAAGTGGTATGGAAGGCGGTAACCTCTTATACTCCATGAGAGTGGCTATGATTGAGGGGGTCACATCCACCTTCGTTCCCCTCACATTTGTCCTCAAAACCAATGTCTCTTCATCAATAACCCTAAGTCTTTGATAGAACTCTCGGCATTGCGACAAGTTGAACCCACTTATAGCCCTAAACCAAATCTCAATCCCCCGAGCTTCAATCATTCTCACCACCTCATGATTCACACCCAAAGATCGCTTATCAACATGTCTCTCATAGGTAAAATTCTTCTCATTGATGCTTAGAGCCTAGCATCATTCCTAGCCTTTTTTCTTTGTTCACCTCCTTGCCTACTTGGCCCTTCTACACTTCTCTTTCGGCCACTGCCCTCTGAAGGTTGTGGGGAGCTTGGCCCAACTCGTTTGGTGTGGGCTATGCACAGCAACAGTGCCCCTAAAGCTAGAAATGTGAAGAGGCTCAAGAAAAGACCCTCAATTGGGTCCATGGTGTCCCGTAAAACCATCACTTGTCGAGCCATTTTAGGAGTTTTTGAAACATAGCAAGGAAGGAGGGAGGCTAGGGCTTTGAGAGGAATTCGGCAAATCTAGTGTTCTAAATTGGGGGATTTCAAATCCTTAACAAAAAAGACTCAATTATCAAGTCTAGAAATGGGGTTTAGGTGTCAGATGAGTAGGGAAGTGATTTGGTAGGCTAGGAAGTGGAGTGAGTGAGAGAGGAGTTCAAAGGTGCCTGCAATTTTTTTTTTTTTGGGGGGGGGGGGAATAAA